TATTCAAGTTGATCTTTATCCTCATGCTTACCTACGGTCCTGAGTCGTGGTCCATGACTGAAAAGCTTCGAACCCGCGTTACAAGCTACTGAAATGGGCTTTTTGAGGCAAGTCGCTGACCTTACGCCTCTCCATTTGATCCGGTATACAGACATCCGCGAAAGTCTTGTGTACAGCCGCTGCGCTGCTTCTGATCGAGAAGACAAATCTACGATTGTTTGGGCACTTATTGTGAATGCCTCCGAAAAGGAATACGAAACAACTATTTCTTGCCCAGTCGACCGGCAGAAAGCACAGGGGATGGTCAAGATTAACCTGCTGCAACTATATGAAAAGAGTCTGCTCTCTAGACTCCAGTTGTCTTCTGCTGAAGCTGAGACTCTGGCACAGGATTGGGAACATTGAATGCAGAATGTGACGTGTCCACCTCCACGATTCGGTCGTAGAAGATGCTTATGATTTTGTTCATGTTTAAATGGTGTTATTACGTAGTCTCTTAGATGCGTAAATTTTTTCTCTCTATGTTATCTTCGATTCGATGTACGTTGAATCGATTCATTCGCAATGGCAATACCCTGCTAATCGTTGGTTTTGCTTCATGAGATGCTTCTTATATGGTTTTTCTAATTCAAAATGATTGACTCGCACTGTCTATCATATTTTTAATAGGGTATTTGTAGACGTAAAATCAATAGCTTTAAAAAATATTTTTATGGCATTCTTGAAGCGCCATTATTGCTAAAAGGCTAATATACTGGAGATAAAATTTCGAACAATACCGACCGACATTATGTGGTCTACTCTTTTGTTCCAAGTCAGTTAGGCATAACTGATCTTTGCCTTCAGACTTGCTTGGTGAAAACAACAAATTGATTCGCGAAAGAAACATGATTGAAATATATTGTGAAGAAAGTATGGCCAGCATGCAGCGGAAAATAGATGCATTGGAAGGCGAGTTGAAATTAAAAGATAGCAGATGCAAGTTCCTGGAAACTACAATTAAAAACTGTACTGAAAAGTCAAACCAGCAATTGCAAGAACTGCAAACGAAGTTGAATGTTCAGAGAAAAGAGTTCGAGGTGAGTTTAGACATGAACAATATTGTCATTATTACGTTGCTTCCAGGTAGAGAATTGCATTCAAAGCAAGAACATGGTAGCTTTGGCACAATCGATGAACGCGTTTGTAAAAACTATGGACAAATTTGCATGGCGTCCCGTCGAAATGCGGTGTTTCGGAGGAGAGTCCAGTACGAAATTGATTGAAGACATGAGACGATTAATGGACGAGTGCAATTCAGTTTTGCAGCAAGAATGGGATGCCGCTGAGATGGTAATGGAAATGCTGCCTCAACGACCCGTTATTTTATTTTTCAGGCAGCGAATCGTTTGAGCGGTTTGCTCCGTGGGACGATGAAGAGACAGATTCTCACTAATGGTGATAGAGTGACTGACCGTAACAAGACGTTTGCTGCGAAGCTCGTCACTGCCGTGGACGCCCTTGGAATTGCTCTGGAAAGGTTAAGAAGGTTTGAGCATACCGGAGCTAAATTGCGTATGGAATCAGAGGCAAGAAAAACTTTAATTTTAATCTCTGGATTTCTACCAGATCTTCTTCTTGCGTTGATAATTTTAAAATCTAATTCTACACGCGTCTCTAGTAATAGCATGTTAGAATGGTTTAAGTACTTCAGTTTTGTCATTATTGACAACGATACCGTCCAGTAAGAATGTAAGAATCACCCTTGATTTCTGTCACTGTCACTGTCCCGTACCTTTGCAAAAACTGGTTTTTTCCCTTTCTTCGGTCAGGTCAGTATTGGTATGCGAAATAAGGCCCTCGTTGTATAGAATGCTAGCAGCATTTTTTGAACAGCGTAGAGCAGCGCTTGCTGTAATGTACAATGACACTTAGATAGCACGAGCACAGAAGTGAACCACTTTTCTTACTGGGGGAGGGGTGCAGAGGCGCGTTTGCTTAGTAAGTTGCAGGGATGTTAGGTTTAATGCCAGTGCGCGGCGTGGATTTTCTAGTATTAACTGCTAATTTCTTTAATCAAGAAGTTCACCCCTCTGGGCTGCAAGGCAACCAGCTAATAAACGGCTAGCTGGTCGTTGACCAGAATAATAAGGACGGCATTTTGCTTTGGTGTAGTCGTGCCAAAGCCTGCGAAACATACGGCTGTGCTCTCTCGTGCGCTCACTTTACAGCTACAATTCGCTTTGACCCACATGATAGCTGACCAATAATCAGCACAAGGTGTAAACGTAAAAATTTTTAAATTTGCTGACAAAGGTTTCTTCTACAGTAGAGACACAATAGGAAAGCACTTGGCTCTATTACATAGACTGTTTAAGTATAATCCATCACTAGGGCTTTGAGCTTTTCACGCGATAATTGAGATACGGGAAACGTCGGCCAGGAGGCCGACTTTCATTGTGGACGAACTCGATAGAAGCAGATTTACGTTTGGAGCAAAGATAAAGATTTCTTTTGCGATGTGGTAACCGGTACCTTATAACAAAACTGTTGAAATGTTTAAATGCAGCGAACATCAGGCTCGATGTGCTTATGCAAATAGCTCAAAGTTATTACCGGCGCAGACTTATTTAATCAAATTTATATTTAGAGTAAGCATAATAGCATAAAAGTTCAACGAACACAGTTCTCTAGGTTACTTTCTACCTTTTTTGACAATAGAGGCAAATTGATAGTTTTTAAATGATAACTTTTGAAGTGAGGTAATGCACTATAACCATGTTTATTCAAGGAAGGAATTATTGATGAGCGCGTTTTGCTTTTTTGTCAACAGAAAATTTTACTGAAAGAATTCACTCTACTCTATGGCATAAAACGATAATTAAGCAGCGTCTTTTGATGATTCAGCCTCAGTGTGAATCAGCACCATCAGTTCATGAACAGGGAACCATTTAATTTGTTTAATCGTGCACCCGCTCCAAAGCGGCATGGCACAGTCGTTCAATCGTTCTTTCAATTGTATTTTTTTTCTATTTCATTACTTAAAGGCGCGTCTACACACGTCGGCCACTTATGAATTTGTATGTGTTCAGACAATGAAATTTGTTTTAACGGTTTCACCGTTAGTTCAGGTGTTTTTAAATCAGCTAGTAGGTCAGCGACGGCTGACGAAGACCGACGCAACGACGACGAAGATACCAGACAGCAACGGAGTCGCTACCCGTTCTG